AAGATGAGAAAAAGAAAATTAAGCAATTGCTAATGCTCTACTAGGGTAAAGAAAAATTTAGTACTCCACTGGATTTTTTGTGTTTATTTAATTATTTACATTTACTATAATATTAAACAAAATATTATCCTGCATTATCAAATGACAGAAGTAGCATTAAAAAGAAAATTAAACATAACTCATAAGTTATAAAAAGAACTGTTATTTTACAACCTTTATGTTGCATCCTGTATAGTTACTTGGCGTATGCCATGTATATTTCGAGACGGGTGACTTGAAATTCACTTCTAAACTTCGTTTTCAACTCCAGAAATTTTTTTTTGATCATGCTCTTGAGTCTGCATACGTACCTTTTTAATTTTTTTGGTTCTTGAGGTTCTTTAGAGTAAACTTCAGGTTCTGATGTTGCCTCGTCAAAGCCGCTCTCTGTGTTTTCCGAGGAAGATGAAAATGAAGAAAACGTATTCATGACTTCTTCAGTATCGTTATTTATGGTGGTTAGCCAGTGAGGTATCGTTCTTCTATTCCAAAACTTCTCCAATGTACATTTGTTGATTTCTTCTGCAAACTCCAATCCGATTATGGTATTCATGTTTGAACGTGTTTTCCGTATGACTGATGCAATACTTTATGCATTTTTCCATGTTATACACATATAGGTACGAAAAGTATTAAGGTGCAAATGATCTAATATTGCAAAATTAATCCCTTACCTGGGATAATGAGGTAGGATATTCGGCGTCTGAAGCATAATATAAGTTAATAATATACATCGTTTTTGCATTTTTAATCGCTTTGGTAATTGTTGGGAATTCCAAAGTCATGTAGAAATTTAAATTTGTTTATTGTTATAAATCCTTTACAGGGGTAGAAATAAAAATATTTTGTATTGTTATTATTGCTAAAAACAATTTTGTTTTAAAATGTAAAGTATAAGTTTAAAAAAATATTTAATTAAAACTAAGGGGTCTAAATTCTAAATTTACCAATTATTGTGATAACTTTGGGATAAGTTACTTAAAACTTATGCACTTATCCCAAAGTTATCACAATAATTGGTAAATTTAGATTTTAGACCCCTTAGTTTTAATATATTACTTTATTTGTAAAAACATATTTTTTTTACTATACAGACTTATAATAAGCATTACTAAACATTTAATCTATTTACTAATTTTCTTTTCGGTATTGGTTTTTAAAAGTAATAAATCCTAAATATTAAACGTGTCATAATTAATTTCTCAATTTATTACTTTTTGAATGTAGAATTCATTACAATATTAATTTTAAGTTAAATTATGGTTCAAAATATATTAATAAATATTTGGTATTCAATACTAAAAGTTTATGCCTTATTTCCTATTTAATCTTGTGCATTTTGTTGGTTATAATTCTTTTAAAGTATTAATTATTTCTATTAAAGTCTTGCTTTATGTATTAAAAACATTTGTACACAGAAAAAAAAACCTTGGTATAATTAGATAATATATACTGTCTGATGAGAAATTTATTGGATTATATGTGTATTTTTTTGGATTTAGATAAAGCAGTAGTCTAATTTGCAAGATACATTATACACAAGAAACATTTTTTTCTTCTAACACAATATTTTCTTATTCAGATTAAACCTTATTTAAATTAGATTATACAATTTACTAATAATTAAAAACATACGAAACGTTCGTTTATGTTTAATAATCATAATTGTGTGGTTTAAACAAAAACCTAATTATTTTTAAAACAAGTTTTATTTAGTACTAAAGGCATTTTTGTGTAGACTTAACAAAAAACTTGTTTGATTGAAACACATTTATTTTATGCAGTCATGTGCTTCACACATTTTTTTAATAGAACAGGTAATTATTTAATTTAAAATAACCAAAAAACCTGTAGATTCGCAATTGTAAAATTATTTAACTTAAATAAGTTTTTAAGAACGTTAGCAATTTAAAAAACATAACTTATGTATTAGAAAAAATATTTCGTTATATTACAATCAATGCTGTTTGGAATAGACAAGGTTTTTAGCTGCCCTATTGTCTATAGACAATTTATTATTATGCTTAGCAAAAAATAATTTCTAAGACAGGGCGTTGTCACCTTCTTTATCTCTGGTCGTTGTTTAGACTGGTCGCTTTCATAGTGTCCAGAGGCAGTACCTATAAGTTTTTAGTTTGCATGGTGAACAGTGGGTAATAATGGAAGAAACAAAACAAATATTAATTGAGTGGGGCCTCGAAGAGCTCGTGGAAGATTTTGTGGGTAAGTAAATTTCAATTTTATTCCGATAATTATTATAATTTTACGACCAATGCAATATATTCTACAATATATTCGATAAATGCAAAGTTTATGGATTCTAACTTTTTGTATAATTAGGCTATATTAAGAGGTTTTGTTTTGGTGTTTTTAATTTTATTTTAAAACAAAAATGGTATGTGTGATGCTGGAAATATAAATCGAGGCTGCAACAAAAAAGTTTTGGAGGTTAAATGTGGAAACCTATATTAAAATGGCGTCCAAATTAATTTAAATACGAAGTGGCTCCCGTCCTGAGGCGGGGAAGTACCCTACCGAATCTCGTTAAAGTAATATATTTTCGACGGAGTCCGATTATGAGTCATTTTTTCTGACAGATGACAGTTTGTGTTGTTTATTTACCTGTTTGTTTTATCGTAACAAAACAAATCTTAAAATTATGACGTCACTCTGGACTGAACTTAAGTCCCGCCTCGGGACGGGAGCCACAGCGATTTAAATATCCTGAAAACCGAATTTGTAGTAACTGCCATAATTAATAGAAATCATGAAATTAAATTTTGGTGATTGGTTTTAATACCTAAACAAAAAATGCAGAAATGAGCAATATTTTAAATATTTGGAGAAATGATTATTAGTATTTTGCGCCCTATATTAAATAATATAGGCTTTAAAAATGTTCATATTGGGCAATAATAGTAAATTACAGTGGCGGCTCGTGACCATTCATGAAGGTGAGGCTCATGAACCGCTATATGGCGCCGCAGGCAAGGGTTTTTTGAAATTTTCAAGGTTAAGCGTTTTCGGAGCACTTCAGAATCTAAATAAAAATATATATATTATTTAAAAATATGGTCTTTCACGAGAAGAATTTTCAAAATTTAGCTAGAATATTACAAAAAGTGCGGGATGAGGTAGGATTTTTATTTATTCCTTCAGCAGGTTTCCACCCAGGAGGTACTGCTCATTTTAACCTATCTTACAATAATTATTTTTAGGTTAATAAAGGCACAACCCCACAACAACAAAGACTAAACAATTTTATTAAAACTGTTTATTAACAATGTAGAATAATAGAAAGTACGTTACAAAATGCAAGTCGCCATTTTCTGATTAAAAATTGACCACGTTGCACCGTCCTCTTCTAGATGGATGGAAATACATACATAGCAGTTAGACATGATATTAGTTAAACTACAAATTTCATTAATGTTTTTGTTAAGTAAGGTACTATAAGTTATAAGTACGTATAAGCTTTGTTAAGTTTCTGTTCGAAATAAAAAAAACATTTTTTCATAATATTGTTTCAGTTATATTACCTTTCAATTTTCATTTGGTGTAGGTAGATCCCAAAAATGACCGCACTCTACCCAGAATGTTATTGATTATAAATGTCTTCCCCACCCCCCGTTTAACTTTTTTATTTAATGTTTGGGAAAAAAATGTCGAAATCAAAGGTTTTTAAATTAAATCAAATGCTTTATTGTCATACCAGAAATCAGGTTTCATACAGACAAAGTACTATAGTATAGTTTGCTGTAATTTGCTGTAATTTAGAATTTAGAATTTCTAAGACCACCCTGTATATATAAAAAAATTAAAATCCATTTTAAATTACTTACTTTTGATTCTATGTAGGTATATGACATTGTTTTCCTTAACATCAAATAAAAAAGTTAGGAGAGAGGGATATTTATAACCAATCGGCAATAACCCTGTACCTACATAAAAACTTTATCTAGGTACCCAAGTGTACTTATCTACCCTAGCAAATTCCTTTTTTCGTTATTATGTAAAATACTTGTCTAAGCGCATTATTCATATGTTTTCAGTTACAAAATTTTCTTTTCTATAGTACATAATATTTTATTTGGAAGAACTAACGACTTCTCTTTAAGAGCAAAAATGTTTATCAATTCTTGATAATTAATATTATATAAATTAAATAATATGGTTATTTATATTAGGTAAAGCAATTCTAGTAAAAATATTTCGATAAGGTAAATAAGGTTTTGGCTGTCCCTACAGTGCTTAAGTATTTTGTCTAATCTATACAAGTTTTTTTTTTCTGTGTATATATCTGTATAGAAGACGTTGTGTATTTGATTTAGCACGGTTTTAGATAGTTTTCTAATTACTACTACCCGTGGTTTTAGATAGTTTTGTAACTACTACTACCCAAAAAATTCAAAAATACTTAAAAACAACTAAAAACGGTTGTTATAAAAACAATTCAGAAAAGGTAGGGTTAAATTAAGTATTTTTGTAAGGTTTATATAAACAAAAATTAAAAAACTAAATCATTATAATTTTGTTATATTTTTATTAACAGACGTTACTTTTTATTTTTGAAAAGTCATTAGGAAATTGTTTTGCATTTTAAATTTTACTTGTTACTAGATTCTGTCAAAAAAGTCGCCCAATTTTGTATGAATTTACCTTAATTAAAAAAATTAAAATGTTACAATGCAAATTGTCAATTTGACTAAAAAAGTACTTGTAAATAATAGTATATTCTGTAACAAGTTACCCTATAAAATCAAAATTTTGGGTGGGATAAAGTATCTCATTACAGCACCGAAAGCAGTGTTATAATGAAATCATTTTGAACGCAAAATAAATAAAATTATTTAATTATAAGGATTAATAAAACGCATTTTTTAATTTATATTTTAATAAATAATAATATTAAAATCTCAAAAACAATAATAAATAAATAAATTAAAAACAAATAAGTACGACTAGAATTTAAAACAGACACCTATATTCAATATCATCATCTCTTTTAAATTTCTTGACTAGAACAATAATAACTGTACACAGCGAAACTTTTTTACTTTTTTCGAGATAAATAGAGACAAATAAATCATCATCATTTTTGTACAGAACTGCCGCTATTCAAATTGACTGCAGTGATAAATTTTGTGCACCAGACACTCTTTCATGGCTTCCATAAAACTCAAAAGTATATGTTGTGTAAAGGGACGTCATATCAAGTCAAAACATGTTTTTCATACGATTCTAAAACTGATCACAGGGAACACCACGGTATACGCAAGTTTAACGCAACAATATAGTTTTTTGGAAATGTATATAAATATAATTGTCGTAATTTTCGAGTGGGGGTGTTTGGGGGGTCAGTAGTGTGCGCTGGACGGCTCCCCCAGCCACGAGTCGGGACTAGGGGGGAAATCTGGATAACCTCGCGCGCTACTGTCGTTACTGATGTCCGTATCTGCCCCGGGGGGCATTCCGTGGGGTATGGACAGCCCTGGGTGGTGACCCCCTTGCCCTGAAAACAAAAAGTTATTAGTTAGATGGGTTTTAAACGGCTTTAAATTTTGAGTAAGTAATTGAGGTTATGTTTCATGTTTTTTAATAAATAATTCAATTATTTCTCACTTTTCAAAAATTGTTATTCTCTCTTTAATTTTGAAGTAATATAAATTTCCATTGGTAGTTTTATATTATGTACTTATTTTTTGTTCATTGTTACAGATTTGAAGTTGCAGTGAAGGTAAATAGTGTTTTAAAGTTTTTACTACAAGCAGGACAATTTAAAAATAAATTTTCTACCTACATATATGTTACAGGTGAAAAAGAGGATTTATTGGGTTTTAAGATTTATAGTGCTCAAGGTAATTGTATTTTTTGCATTGAATTTTAATATTCATTTATTTTTTTATTTTAGAAGTTCTTGAAGAACTGTTCTTCATAACTGTTCTTCATAACATATAAAGCTACCAATCACAAAATTTTACAATCTTAATGTTTAATAAGACATAATTCTTAATAGCCTTATCGTCAAATGTCAAATTTTTATTTTCTATAAACACAGATTATAAATGTTATAAATCGAAATGTATTTCTTGAAAATGGTCAGTTTTTTACAGTGAAAGTAAAGAAAATGTTTTATGAGCACTTTTTAGTGGAGTCCGTGCCCGAATTTAAGTTAAAGTTTACTGCCGGCGAAATTAAAAGGGCAGTACAATGTTCATATAAACTTTTCAAATATTGGCGTTGAGGAACTATTTAATACTTTTGTATTTTTGTATTGAGGTAATAAAATAATTTTCACATTTAGTATTATTTTACAAGAAAGGCAATTTATTTTAACGATTGTATGACATTTGACAACTGTCAACTAACTTAAAACTAACTTCAGCCCGTGACTAAAAACCTGTTGCTAACTTCAGCCCGTGACTAAAGCGCTGTAAAGCCACAACTTGTCAATGTGTATTTAAAAGGTCACTTAGTGTAAACATGTAAACATGTATGATAAAGGGCGTTTTAAAGGTGGGAGTAGAAAAAGGTATTTTTTTCTAGAGAGTTTACATAAACACGAGAGATTTTCTCCTCCTGGGTATGTAGAGTTTCAGAGGTCCTTTAACGTGACCTTGAACAAAGCGAAGCAATAAAGCAAGAAATAAAAAAACCTTATTTTGTAAAACAAATTAAAAAACTTTTCTTAGGATTTTTCATAAAAAACAATATTTTTTTCCAATTTTGATTATTTAAAATATTTTTTATCATACAATTTTTTTTGTTTGTTTAACAAATTTTTATTTTATTGTAATTAAAACATATAAATACAAAATTTTTTAATTGTTTTCTGTGCCTGTAATTTTAATATACAGTATGTCCACGGGACAAATGGACTAAAATTTTAATTTTTGGACCAAAAGTCATTCTTCATAAAAAGTTCTGCTTGTTTTGAAAGGTCTATTGCCATACTTTAAATGTAAAAATATTATACAGGGAGGTTGAAAAACCAGGAAACATGAAATACTATCAAGAGTAAACTACCTTTATTTAAAACAAAAAAGATTTCAAATCCTATCCAAAGACTAATTGTAAAATTTCAAAACAGTATTCCAAATTTTCTTTTTCTTTTAGTTTTAAAATTCAATTTCTAAGTTATACTTTTGTACCTCATTTCACGAATCCCTTACCTATGTATAACAAAAAATGTCACAGACTTGGATATTAATTTTAATTTATTTCAAACTATTCAATATATATTTTAAAGTTGGACAAATATTTTATTAAAAAAAGTTGTTTATAATGTCAAGAAAACCTTGTGGAGCAGTTTTTGAGATAAAGTCAATTCCATATTAAATGGAAAATTGACTATATCTCAATAACTGCTACTTTTTTAACTTTTGACGACATTTTCGGATTCAGGGGACAATTTTACATAAAAATTGGCTGTTAAACTTTGGGATACCATGGTATCCTATGGTTAACCATGGTACAAGTAGCCACTAATAACCATTAAATTAGTCATTTTTGACTAATTCATTTTAAGAGAGTGGGTAGGTAAGTTTAGCAAGACTATTATATAAGTGTAGTCTACACATTGCTGAGGTCTTACCTATGCTTGCATATACTGAGAGTTGGTCTGGGTAAGGATAAGGTTCATGCCCATGTGGAGGCGTATGTCCAGGTAAATAGGAAGGTGAGGCTGTCCCATGAAGAAATGATGGTCTTCCAATACCGCTGTGAGGAGAAGACCCATCTTGGTCCATACTCATATTAACAACTGTACCATAACTATCATCGCTCATATCTGAAAACGCGTTCTTATTAGCTTTAAACATCTTTAATTGATAATAAATTGTTCAACTGAAAGGAATCTTACCATGGTGACTAAAACTATCCAGATCAACCTTCATTTCGTCCTTATCTAACAGTTTATCGTGTCTAGGTGAAGAGCCTCCCTTCATAGATCTAAAGTATTGACTCCATCTTGTACGCCCAGCGTCTTTCTTAAGTCTTTTTTCTTTTGCTCTCCTAAAACCAATAAAAATATTACATCATTTGGAATCTCTGAAAGATATTTACTTACCTATTTTGAAACCAAACTTGGACCACTCGCATGTCTAACCCTGTGTCTTGGCTGAGTTGTTCTCGAACGTGCCTTGCTGGTTTTGGACTGTTGTTGTAAGCTGTTTTCAGGGTTTCTAGTTGTTTTGCTGTTATTGTCGTGCGCGGTCGTTTGTTCGGTTGGTCTCCATCTAAACATTCTGCAGCTGGAATAAGAAAAATATAGAATGTGTTTTAGACATAAAATGTTAATGAATATTAATTACCTATATAGAATGTTGAATGTTTTCGGTTAATTTTAGGGTTTTAGAGTTCTAATTAATCGATTTGACCAAACAAGCACTTAAATCAAAGGTTTCTCTTGTATAGTTTTGGTTTTGGTATCGGTCAGTAGTTCGAAACTGGCGATTTTATGAAGTTGAAAAAGGTCGAAAATTTTCATATCTTTCTGGGAAAGATAGAAATCGAAAAGATAATTCCAGTTTGATTTATTTTACTATAGATTATACTTAAAGGAAAAAAATAAGCTGCTGTTTATAAAAATCCATGAATAAATGGCGAAGTTATGAATTTTTCAGTGGAAGACCAAAATTCAGTTTTTCGAGAATTTTTACTTTTTTTATTAATTTTATTGAATTATATAAAACTTAATATTGAACATTGATTTTTATTTTAAACATTAAATATTAAATTATATATTGAATATTAAACAATTAATATTGAGCATTGAAGAAATTAAAAGTTGAAGGTTTAAAAAAATTTTGACTCCTTCTTTGTTTTTTGTTTTTTGGCTGCATCCCAGAAGCCGTGATACCGCAGCTCCATAGCCTTCATTTGCTGGTGAAAACGTTATACGTGCTCATCACTTATTATTTACGCACTCGAACTCTCTACTTATTTTACTCATTCAACACTTTTCATTAACTAAATAAAACCATGATAAAAATACCTCGTTGAAATATCAAAAAATATCAGTAAAATGTCACTATGCCAACACGAGAAACAAAAGAATTCACGTTTGCGGAGTCATGTCAAATTTAAATTTTGAATAATGGTTTCCGTGAAAAAAGTACGTAAACAACTCAAAAAATTCCAAACATGCGCTTTATTTAGGTTTTCATTAAAGAATAAACATATTACAAAATAAAAGAAAAAAAATAAAATAAAAATCGTCAAAAAGCTGAATTTTTGTTGTCCATTAAAAAACTCATAACTTCGCCATTTTTCCAAGTATTTTTATCAACATTAGCTTTTTATTTGTAAAAAAGTCAGCTTCACGAAAAAAAATTCAAAATGGAGTTATCTGTTTGATTTATGCCTTTCCCAGGACGATATGTAAATTTTCGACCTCAATTTTTGCCATAAAAACGAATTTTTTAAGTTATTAAAATCGCTAGCGTCTAAATACTTATCCGATATCAAAAGTATGTAAAAGAAAGTTTTAGAGGCCACAAATACCTTCAATTTAAGGGCTTGTTTGACCAAATCGATTAATTAGATTTCAAGCTATACTCAAAAACGTCAAAAAACTCCGAAAATTGAAAAAAAAAACAATTGAAAATTCATATTTCAAAAACGCTTCCATAAAATTTTTTGAAGAAAGTTAAAAAAAATGGTGTATTTTGCATATGCCATATCTCAGTTATTAGACATGGGACCTAATATGAAGTTCTGCGCAAGCCGAATTTAAATAGAAGTTTGCGAAAAAATATAGTATTTGCTCCGTCTACCCTGCAGCCTGGCCCCCCTGATAAAGATAATACAAATTTTAGTGGTTAAATTTATAATTTAATACAGTTTATGGACAAATTTTAAAATTTATTTAGAAAATATTACAGATTTTATCCCATTTTATTTTTTTATTATTTTAGTAAAAGAAATAAAGATTTATTTAAATGGTATAAAATCTCTAATATTTAAAAATTTTAAATAAATTTTAAAATTTGCCGATAAACTAAGGTAAATTATAAAATGGTGCATTTTAAATTTTAATTTGTATTGTCGTTATTAGGGGGGGCAGGCTGCAGGGTAGGCGCATCTTTTTTTCGCAAACTTCTATTTAAATTCTGCTTGCGCAGAACTTGTAAATTTAGTGTTATTATAACCTTATCTAAATTTGGTGTGGGTCCCTCACTAAGAAAATATATTGAAATACCCAACAATATAGATTTTTTATGCAAAATATGGTTCATTTAATTATAATCTATGGTTATAATAACAATATACTAAAAATTAGTTTTGTTATATGTACTGTATTCATTTTGTTATAAAAATTTAGTAAAGTTGGATATTTAAATATAACCATCATGTACGGCTAAACTGTTAGGACTACACTAGATGATTAAAATTATAAGATTATCTGGTTACAATGTGTTGTCACTCATTATTAACAATATGTCGTTGTAGTTTTTACTATAAAAAAAAGTTTATATATATCATAAGTATAGTATATTTAACCATATAGGGGGTTATAAGGTACTTGTAACCCTACGCATATGATTATTATTATTATTTTTTTTTTGTTCAGAAAATAACGGGAATTGTTAAATTTCGCGGGTTCGGAGGGTCCGGTTGTCATAAAATTTTCTTTATTATGTTGGTATACCCCCCGAAGTATGATAAAAACTTTAGGTGTTTTCATTGTTTACTTTGTCAGTGGCAGCCGCTAAGGTTAGACGTGTTTTATGAACTCGGCGATTTTTCGTTCGTTAAAAGAAATGGATCAAAGAATTTGTATCCAATTTTGCTTAAAAAATGAAATAAATTCTGTTAAATGTTAACAAAGGCCTATAGTGAGTCTGCCATAAGTAAAACAAGAGTTTACAAGTGCTATAAGAGTTTCCAAGATGGCCGTGAAGACGTTGAAGATGACGAACGCCCCGAACGCACAAGCACATTAACAACCGATAAAAACATGGAAAAAGTGGAAGAAATGGTTATAAACGATCAGAGAAGTCTCTGATGATGTTGGTATATCGTTTGGCTTATCCCATGAAATTTTTTCGAATGTTTTGGTTATGAAACGCGTGGCAGCAAAATTTGTTCTAAAATTGTTAAATTTTGAACAAAATTTTTGGCCAAAAACAATACTGTAATGATGCCCCAGCCTCCACATTCGCCAGACATGCCTCTGTCTGACTTTTTCCTATTCCCAAAAATAAAGAGAACCTTAAAGGGCCGTCGTTTTGCAAGCATAGATGACATTAAAAGCGCATCGCTGAAAGAACTAAAAGCTATTCCAAAGATCGAGTTTTAGAAGTGTTTCGAGTATTTCAAGAAGAGCTGGCACATGTGCATAATATCCAATGAAGGCGACAACATTAATGTAGACGAATAAATAAATATTTGTTTCAAAAAACGAAAATTCCCGATATTTTCTGAACACGTATATGACTGCCTATACTAATCAGAATATTCGATTAAAATAACCATTGTTTTATCTGAGTGCATGTCTAATAACTAAGATATGGTATACGCAAAATCCACCAGCCGCCACTGCTGTGTTCTTAAAGTTAAATAAGCCCAAACAACAACAAAAAAAGACTTTATGACGTCCAAATAATTATTACTAAATGTCATTTAAAAAAGTGTTTGTTACCTTTGGACTTGGCGGCTTCGTAGTCGGGCTTGCAGACCAGCTTCCTGTCCTCCATCAAGTAGAACTCGTCGCCGGTGTTGAGTTGCCGGGCGCACATGACGCACGCGAAGCACTGCAGATGGTAGACGTTGTCCTGCGCCCGTCTCACGACCTGCGTGGGCGGGATGCCCAGCTCGCAGCCGGCGCACTTGGTGCCGAACCTTCTGCACCCACAGCGCCACGCACATACACAAGCCGCATTGTTACATCCGAACTACACGTTCTAGCTGCCGCGACCGGAAAAAGTCCTCTCAAAATCTCACATCTCTCAGTTTAAGTTTATGTTTAAAAAATATTATTGCTTGAAACAACAAGTTGGGTATAGAAGACAGTTAAGGTTAAGTTGATATTTCCAAGAAAATTATTTATTAGGGTGCTTCATTTTAAAGCAGGTTAAGTATGTCAAGAAGCTAGATATAACTATCTTAAGAATGTCAATTTAGCTAAAGTCACTGCCTTGAGAATGTCGACAAGCTAATATATATGTATTGAGAATGTAAATTTAAGCTTAACTCAGTTATAAGAATGTCGACAAGCTAGATATAACTATCTAAAGAATGTCAATTTAAGCAAGTGTCTTATGAATATCAACCTAGATATAACTGTCTTAAGATTGTCAATTTAAGCTCTACTATCATAAGAATGTCGACTAGATATAATAGAAAAGGTTGATATAACTCTTAAAAAGTTGGCAAGCTAGATGTAATGTCAATATAAACTAAACCTAACTGTCTTAAGAATATCCTGAAGGAGGATACTCCTTTCTTAAGAATGTCGACAAGCTAAATATTACTGTCTTATGAATCTCAATTTAAGCTATACTGTTTTTAAAATGTCGAAAAACTGGATATAACCCTCTTAAGAATGTCAATTTAAGCTACAGTCAGTGTCTTAAGAATAAAAACAAGCTAGATATAGTTATATATAACTGTCTAAAAATGTTTTTTATGCTAATTATGCCCACCTGTTTTAAGAATGTCATCTGAACTAAGATAAAACTGTTATATGAGAATCATTAGATAAAAATAATAGGGTGCTTCATTTTAGAGCAACATTTTTTTTCAGTCCCACCTAAAAATGTTGTAACCGCTCAGAAAATAAAAATGTTGAACTATTACAATGCTCTTAATCTTTATTTTAAGCCGTTGCTATTCAATTTTTAAATATTTCCCTTTAAAAACCATTAAAAAACAAAGTTTTATTCTTTTCTCCTTCCGCTCGTACAGTAAGAATATTTTTTTTGAATTTCGGTTCTAAAATCTTTATACTGGATGAAATTATCTTCAAAAATGTCTATTTCAGCAAGTCTGTAAGTTGAATATGTTCTTCACAAATTGTCGTTCTACTCGAAAATCTTCTAAAATAGCAGTAAATCGTATTTGGAGACTAAACTATTAATTGCAGATAAAAAACGTAAATAACAATTTTATAGGGAATTTTTTGCCCTACAAATTTGTTAAAAATATTTTTCTGTATCGCTTATAGTTTAGCTTGTACAGCCACTCTTTCACGTAACTCTAATATTATAGTTATTACAGTCGTCAGAAAGAATTTGACACTTAGAGTGGCTGTACAAGCTAAACTTTAATTGATACAAAAAAATATGTCGTGACAAAATTGTAAGGCACAAAATTCCCTACAAAATTGTCATTTACGTTTTTTTCTACAATCAAAAGTTTAGTCTCCTAATACGATTTACTGCTATTTTAGAAGATTTTCGAGTAGAACGGCAATATGTGAAGAACATATTAAACATACAGACTTGCTTAAATAGACATTTTTGAAATAATTTCATCCTGTATAAAGATTTTAGAACCGAAATTCAAAAAAAATATTCTTACTGTACGAGCGGAAGAAGAAAAGAATAAAACATTGTTTTTTAATGGTTTTTAAAGGGAAATATTTAAAAATTGAATAGCAACGGCTTAAAATAAAGATTAAGAGCATTGTAATAGCTCAAAATTTTTGTTTTTTAACCGGTTACAAGATTTTCAGGTGGGACTTTAAAAAAAGTGTTGCTCTAAAATGAAGCACCCTATTATTTTATTATATTATATTATTTATCTTAGTTCAGATGACATTCTTAAAACAGGTAGGCATATTTAGCATAAAAACGTTTTTAGACAGTTATATATAACTATATCTAGCTTGTTTTTATTCTTAAGACAGCGACTGTAGCTTAAATTGACATTCTTAAGAGGGTTATATCCAGTTTATCTACATTTTAAAAACAGTATAGCTTAAATTGAGATTCATAAGACAGAAATATTTAGCTTGTCGGCATTCTTAAGACGGGAGTATCCTCCTTCAGGATATTCTTAAGACAGTTAGGTTTAGTTTATATTGACATTACATCTAGCTTGCCAACTTTTTAAAAGAGTTATATCAACCTTTTCTATTATATCTAGTCGACATTCTTATGATAGTAGAGCTTAAATTGACAATCTTAAGACAGTTATATCTAGGTTGATATTCATAAGACACTTGCTTAAATTGACATTCTTTAGATAGTTATATCTAGCTTGTCGACATTCTCATAACTGAGTTTAGCTTAAATTGACATTCTTGATGTAGCTTGTCGACATTATTGAGACACTAATTTTAGCTTAAATTTACATTCTCAAGACATATATATTAGCTTGTCGACATTCTCAAGACAGTGACTTTAGCTAAATTGACATTCTTAAGATAGTTATATCTAGCTTCTTGACATACTTAACACTGACTTTAGCTTAAATTGACAATCTTGAGTTATATCTAGCTAGTCGACATTTTTGAGACACTAACTGTAGCTTAAATTGATATTTTTGACAGTTCTACATAGATTGTCGGCATTTTTAAGACACTGATTGTAGCTTAAATTGACATTCTAAGGGCAAATATGCCTAGCTTGTCGACATTCTTAAAATAGTAAATGTAGCGTAAATTTACATTCTCAAGATATTTTAAGACAGTGAATACCCTAAATTTTAATTCTTGAGATAGTTAATCTAGCTTGTTTAAGATACTGACTGAAGTCTAAATTGAAAATCTTAAGGCAGTTAGTTATACATAGCTTGTTGACATTTTTAAGACACTGATTCTATCCTAAATTGACATTCTCAAGATAGTTTATCTAGCTTGTCGACATTCTTTATACACTTATTGTAGCTTAAATTAACATATCTAAGCATATTAAGCTTGTCGACATTCTTAAGACGAAGATTGTAGCTTATCGATATTAAGGCTGTAAGTGTAGCTTAAATTAGTCGATATCTTAAGTAAATGTCAATTTAAGTTAAGTTAAGGTATGTTCTACCATGTCTAAATAATAAAAACTTAAAGCAAATTATTTAAGTATAAATATATAAACAAACAAATAAAACAGAAATATTAATTTTTTAAACCTCAAATAGTGATTGGGATTAAGGATATATAAATATATTGTTTAAAATTTATTAGATGCATTTCATAAACTTTTTTTGGTCGATTTTGAGACAACTTTTTCCACTCAACGTTCTACTACGATTTGATTTTGTTTGACTTGACTTGGCGGGCTTCCTTTGATTAAATGAAGGAAACCGCATAGTTTAGTCAGGGTTAATTTAGTTGCCAATTTACTACGACTTCGCTTGTTTTGGTAAACTGTTCTGGATTTAATTATAAAGTTTCCAAAAACAGATTTATTTTTCCACGCAATTAGTTTATCGGTAGATGATGTTATTTAACTTTAATTTCGATGTTGAGAAATTAGTTGCAAAAATGGCGGATGCGCCGGGATCACACGTGGAAATAAACTTCTCAAAATCAATGTAAATTCGCAACCAAATCAACTTTTTATTATGTTTAAGTAAATTTAATATTGGCTTTGATGCTTACTTGAAAAAATCATCCTTGCAAAACAGTTGTCCGTTCCTGGCAAAACACTTGTCGGTCAGTTGAATTCTACAGTCGCTGCATTGAAGGCATTTTGCGTGCCACGTGCGTTCAGCTACCTTAAGGATAAATCTGTCCAGGATCAGCTCATGACATCCGCCGCACTTAGGAATTGTAGCTAAAAAAGAATAAAACAGATTTTTAAGCTAGGTGACTCGCCAATTTTCTTATGTGCTTTGAAACAACCTTGAGTCAATTATGTTTTAATTGAATAAATTGGGATCGTATCAGGAAGTTTATTGAAAAAGTTGACCTTATATATTTTCATTAAAAGTAATTCTAGCAAATTAGTCTATTCAAATGCAATTCTAGAACACGTGAGGTACCAAAAAATTACATTTTTAATTTGACTACACAAAATATTTTCTTAGTGCATTGTTTGGAAATAACAGTGTAATCTTCACAAGGTACCTTTGTTAACAATATAATGTTATCTTGTTTGGATGTACCTGCCTATTAAACAAATAGAGTTTATAGAGCAAGGTCATGATTAAGTTATTCATTGTTAAAGCTTCCTATACAGGCGCTGCTGTTTAATAAGTTATTTAAACAAATTATAAAATATTTAAGAAATATAAATTCTAACGTATCTACTAATTTTTATATCGACCATATATATCGATATTTTTTTAGGTTAAAAAAGTTCTTCCAGCCCTAGTTGCAATCTAGCGTGCTGTGGAGAATGCAATATGCTGGTTGGTTAATTAATTTCGATAGAAACTACTTTCTATTAAAAGTAAACAAACACCCCCTGACATCTGTACAAAAACTTGCCATATTTTTTAAATTGTAAAATAGTTTTTATTATTGATTTACTTATATATTTTATTGTTTATTGAAATTGAAATTGCAATAGTACCGCCCAAACTTTTTTTTAATTTCTGAATTCCATATTTTATGTTTTTTTACTTTCTTCTACTTTTACAATTTTATTCCATTATATATTATATAATATATATATATCACTAGAACTATAAATTTAATCGATTAAAATACTCTCTAAAAATGAATTAGTCAAAAATGACTAATTTAATAGTTATTAGTGGCTGCTTTTTCACTTGTAAAATTGTCCCCTGAATCCGTAAATACTGTCAAAAATTATGAAAGTGAATCAGTTTTTGAGATATAGTCAATTCCATATTAAATGGAAAATTTACTATATCTTAAAAACTGTTCTACTTTTTATACTTTTGATGACTTTTTGGATTCAGGGGACAATTTTACATAAGAATTGGCTTAAATTTTGGGATACCATGGTATTCCATGGTTAACCATGGTACAAGTGAAAAAGCATCCACTAATAACTATTAAATTAGTCATTTTTGACTAATTCATTTTTAGAGAGTAGAGTTTTTAGTTTTTCTTGCAAAATGTTGAATGTTGAAACTATTTTCCAAAAAGGAAAATCAAAGGTAGAGTGATATACGTCTAGATTATTTCTCGAATTAAAGGAAAATATTTGACAATTAATAAAATCTGACATAGGTACATATAACAAACTAGATAACTATTTTAAAAATTGTAAAAAAACCATAAAATCGTAAACAAAAATCCAATATGGAGGCTAAAATTTAATCGTATATAATACCACTAGTGGTAAAATTTGACCGGTAAAATTTTTGATTTTTATACGTTTATATGTTTTTTCTTGTAAATTTCGAAAGTGGCACGAGCCGCAAGGCAAGTGGTTTTAAAATAATGCCACGAGCGAAATAACCAAGGAAAAATCTTGAGTAAATAAAAATCAAAAATTTGTTCAGGGAAAATTTTATCACGAGTGGTATTCGGCAAGACTATTTCACGATTATTTTTTTTAATTAGAATTAACTGCCGATTCAATTTCTGTATGATTTTTTGGCCAAAACGCATATTTTTTGACAATTTTGTTTAAAAATTAGAAACGTCAACATTGACAATTACAACAAATTGGTTGCTATGCAACTCGCATAATCAAGTGTTTTTTCACCTAAATAGTACCGTAAACACGGGTGACTTTGCACCCCGCGGGTGACTTTAACCCATTTATGAAAAATCTTTTCGCGCTAGATAAAATTAACATTTATAATTTGTTGGTCTAAACCTGTCAATTGAGCGATTCTATTGAGTTTATATTACCGGAAAATCAGTGTTTTTAAAAAAGAAATGGGATTTATTACACTTTAAAATTGTATATAGGTATCGCATCAGTGCAAAACTCTTAGAAATACACGCGTTACAATTTCTATATTATGCGCAATCCATTGGAATGATGATCCTTGGTTAACTACAGGTCGATTTTTTATTTTTTTATCGGTATTCCCTTGCAATAGATATAATATATATATATATTATAATATAATATATATATTATTATAATATATATATATATTATGTCTCTGCTAACACGTGTCTAATAAAAATAAAATATAATATTGAATTCATTTTATACGGAAAATACACTGTGAGACAAAGTAACCCGCTACCAGGGGGTAACTTTGAACACCCAGTTTTTAATTTTTATTTTTGAAACTCAGCCCTGTGTAATATTATAACATAGTTATTATGAAAGAGCAACTCAAGACTCAAATTTTGGTATACAAAATTTAATGTTTATGATTGTTAAAACCACAAAAATTTTAAGCTTAAGTTTGAAAGTGTTTACGGTAGTTCTATCGCTGCAAAACTGAAAAAAACACTCGTTATGAAATCTGATTGGTCCATAAAGTAATGAGTTGATTGGTTCATTTTATAATGAGGGAAATAATCATATTATATTAATGTGATATTATTTTAAATTTTTCTAAACCTTTAACTTTTTACAACAAATTGTGACTTTTTTAAATTTAATAAATGAAAAACAAACAGTTCACGGCAAACTTTGTTAATGTATACAACTTTAGCAAAAACATGCAACATGCTACCAAAAACGCGTTACTGTAACATGTGTGCCGCAAGGATCTGTCTTGCATCCCACTTGGTTTAATAGCATAATAAACGACTTTTAACGCAAAAAATTCACTAAAATTCAAAAACACACAAAAAAACAATCTTACACAGCAACATATCAGGGATGTCATCCATAGAAATGGGGGGCACACGAAACATCTCGATATCGAAGCAACTTTTAACCTCGTCCCTGCCAGAACTGATCATTTTATTGTCGTAGACACACATGCACACGCCGCGGTCCAAAAAAATTTAAGCGCCTCACTGCAACTCCCGCGAACAACTGAGTACGCGCGCCGTCGCGAACCTTCGTACTTTTATCGACCCTTCGTACGACGCCCACCGAACGCGACGTCGCGTCCTAGATTCGCAACGAGCTTTTTCAGCGCGCTTTTCCGATTGGCTGGGGCGCTGCCGAGGGGCGGGGCTTCGCACGCCCTAAGCTTTCACCCCCTAGCGCAGAGTGTGCCGTGGCGGGTGAGGTAGGCGACTGCTTAGTTGACAAGTGTTACTTTTTTGTCGAGATATTCGGTTAGGTTTTGTTTTTTGCGGGTTATTTAGTTTTGATGATTTGTGCCGCAGGGTTCAGAATCGGGGGCGTTTAGATTTAAATTACTTATTCTTGTTAATTTCTTTAACATTTTTTTAAGGAATATTCCCCTACATCAAAATAAAACACAAAGTGCTTAAAGTACTTTAAGGAGGTTAGCATCTTTAGAAGCGAACCCAATAAACAATTTGTGCTACTTATGGTAATCATAAATTATATAAAGGTTATATGAACGTTGTCAAATTATATAACAAGGTTTTATAAAATCGCCATTTAGTTTACTAGTTTTATATTGGTCACGTAAGGTTACTGTAAACTCTAGGTATATAATTAGGTTAAATAATTGTTTCTACAAACATTTTATATAACCTTTAGTAACCGTTACCAGTAGGTTTATAAAGAAGTTTTTATAAGGTTGCGGTTCCCTTTTTTATAAAACTATTGTGTCTTTAATTTTTTTTAATAAAAGTTAAGTTTAAAGTTATTAATTATTTATGTGCTTAATTAACCAAAAGCCATGAGCAATATAAGGGGTATATAAGAGTGATATAAATATATCTGAAACCAAATTAAGAAATTTAGGTTTTATAATTTAGATGAAACATTTAAGAAAACCACTATAAAAACAAAATGTTTATAGTTACTCTTCGCTTCTAAAGAATATTTCTAATATTTGTTTAACAAATTTGTCTTTTTTCAAGTATATTTTAAAGGGATTTTCTGTTTTTTTACGATTAAAAAAATCAAGGTTTTCATGTTAACTGTTTTATGAAATATAAAGTATATGGGGTCACAAAGAACAATTTTTTTTACATTTCTTTCTTGCTAAAAGTTTTCGAAACCGCCAAAAAATGCGAAACATTATTTTTTTGTGCTTAACTTGCTATTTCTATTTTTCAGAAAATTTTGGATAAAAATCATTTTTGGTCTGTTTTCGTTTTATTTTTCATTTTCTATTCATTAAATGAATGTAAAGAAAAGTAGACAAAATTGAGAAATGAAACTCATTATTGCACCTAAAATCCAAATAACGGATCTCTTCAGGTGGTCAACGATTGAATTGCATTTATTTTTCTATTCTTCAGCAGATTCTCGTCAATCACCCCTATAAGTACGAGTCCATAATTGTTAGATCAGGTCTTCGTGGAGGCCATAGGTGAGGACCATTCCTGTACAAACATTCCTGAACATTTCGGGGAAGACAACCATCTTGTTGAAAGAACAAAAGTGAAGATTTTCTTCAGTTCAATACCTATAGGTATTGTATACAATGCTGGGAAGCAATAACATCATTGACAAAAATCTGGACATTTGGCTTCATATGGAGAGAATTGGAGCTTGGGCTCTAATTGGTGGTTTAATATCACATGACTGAAGATGTGGTGGGTGGGTATATTTTTAAGGTCCAGATATATTTTTTTATAGTTTTTTTTATTATAATGGTTTAGTAGAGCTATCGGCCATATTAAAAAAGTGGAAATTTATTCGTATTTAGACAAAATTAATCTCATGTAGCCTCACCCTCCTACACACCCACGAGCCGCCACTGGTATCTTTTAGGGTTTACGTCCTACGTCAACAAATCAAAGTGCTTCATATGGACATACGTAAGACGTAAGCCGTAAGACGTAAGCCCTAAAAGATAAATTCTGCCGCAATTGTAGACAGAGCTTAACTTGTGGATATTTCTGGTGAAAATTTTGAATAACATTGGATTAAATAAATTCTTTGCTGTATAGTTAACATGGAAGCAATTAATTCTAATTGGAAGTCGAATTTCGTACAAAAAATGTAAAAATGTATTTATGGTCGAAACGGTTATTTTTAAGTTATAACAAATGAACGAAAACTGATTAAAAATGATTTTTCTCAAAAAGTTTGCATTTCAAAATTTTCAGAAAAATCAAAATTGCAAATTAACCACAGACATTAAAAAGTTATAAAGTTGTAGATATGTTTTGAATGATTTTAAATAAAAAAACAAGATTTCTATATTTGGGTAAACCACATAGTTATTGGACACTTGGAATATTATTTATTTAAAATTTATATATGCCGTTGTTTTAAAGATTTTAGTTTTTTTATAAATATATAAAAAGAATTGTTTGTTTGTTTAAACTTTATTTACTTAAAAATAAGAATATTTGAATTTTTAATAATAGTTTTATAAAAACATGCAAAAAAGTATAATAATTGGACATTTTATACAGTAATTGGACACATGGGCCATAGTTATTGGACATACAATTTTTATATAAACATAACAACTTTACATCAAATAACATAAATTGTTAAATATTTGTTAAAGATAAATTGCTGTTTTAGGTACATTTTTTTTATTTCGTTTTTGTAAATTTTCATATAATTCATATATTTTTTTCTCGGATTCTTTATCCATTTTTTGGATTCTGAAAAAGTTTGTTGCAAATATCATTAAGTGTGGTATCTCTAGTTTGTGAAGCATTTATAATGTTTTGGCCGGAACAGGATGATTAATATATATCTAATATTTTTTCGGGTGGTATGTTAAAAGTATTTTCCAAATTTATTAATTTTGTGGCCATTAGTTTTTTTATGTTCTCTATCATGCACTGTATTTAAATCACTGTTATTCTTCAAGATGTCCTGTGACGAAGAAATCACTCTATTACTTACTCTCTAAAAATAAATTAGTCAAAGATGTCATAGCGAAAAAGCAGCCACTAATAATTCTCGTCAACAGCAATTTGTATCCAGGATATTCAGCAGTCAATTCCTATGAAATATTATTCGCTGAATCCAATAGTGTCGTCAAAAGTTATAAAAGTAGAACAGTTTTTGAAATATAATTAATTTTACATATAATATGGAATTGACTATATTTATTTATTTATTTATTTAATACATCATCTAACAGTCCTTGGACCAATGACAAGATGAGAAAATTTAATCAAGTATTACATATATAGCCTTATATTATACATATAAATTCATATAAAATATACATAACAAAGTTAAGACACAAAAAAAAAACTTTAAATATCAAATATATGGCAAAGCAAAAACACAATAATATTATAAGGAAAGATAAATAAATTAGGTATTTATAGTAATACTCCTTATTATTTGAACATTACATGAAAAAATATCAAATCTGTCTTGCAAATAATTGTACTTTCCACACATGAAGTATAGGGGTGAACAATTTAATATGTTTGTTTTAGGTGATGGTAAAATGTAAAATTATTTCTAGATGTAACACGAGGAACTCTAAAATATAGTTTACTTAAGAGATAAGGGCAGTCTATACTATTATTTAGAAGTTTAAACAAAAATACTAAGGATGCTTTGATTCTGCGTTCCTTCAAGCTTTCAAAATTAAACCTCTCGAGTAATATTTTTTGGGGAAAACCGATAGGTGGGTAGAATCCATCAATTCTAAAACTAAGAATTTTGAGAAAGCGACGCTGTATGTGTTCAAGCGAATCCGAATGTGTTGCCTATCTCAAAAACTGCTCAACTTTTATAGTTTTTGACGGCCTTTTCGGATTCAGGGGACAATTTTACATAAGAATTGGCTGGTAAATGTCCATGATACAAATAGAGTATGATATTGGACACAGGGCCGGATTAAGCCAAAAGGGGGCCTGGGGCTAAAAAATGTTGGGGGCCCTCAAAGTTCTTTATTAAAAGAAAAATGTAATTTTTAGTAATAATAATAAAAAGCCAATAAAAAACAACTTAGGTATTTATTATTGATCTTTACAACGATTTTTTTCGAGCTTTTCTATTAGAAAATTCGTCAATTAGATCATCAAAGTTTAATGAAGACAAAATGTCATTCTCAATTAGTGTTGTAAAAAAAACGTTTTTTTTCAGTTGAAAAAAAACACGTGAAAAAAAACATGTTTTTTTTCACTGAAAAAAAACAAAAGTTGTTTTTTTTCATCCCCATGGTAAAAGGGCGCCTCGCTGTCGGCAATGCTGACTTAGCATATCGTATAGTCTATACGGTATTATAATAGAAGAGTTAAGACCTGCGGCTTTATAGGTTGATGCATAGTTGGTAGAAATGCCGAAAAGAGAAGGCTCAGGGCGAAAGCCAACAACGTTAAACAATTTGTTTAAGAATATTACTAATGGTAAGTAAGAAACTATAATTAGTATTTTATATTCTTCTAGTGACAGAATGTGCCAAAAATTCTTTCCTCAGCAGTGACATTTCGAAAATCCTGTCACTTAATATAATTTGAGTATTTTTGACCATATTTTTGAAAAAAACATTTTTTTTGAAAAAAAAACATTTTTTTTGAAAAAAAACAAGGTCCTCTGTTTTTTTTCAAAAAAAAAAAACATTTTTTTTGAAAAAAAACAAGACTGTTTTTTTTCAGTGACAACACTATTCTCAATATTCATTAAAGTTAAATGAGATAATCTTTCATCACCCATGCTAGCTCTATATTTGTTTTTTATAAATGAAAGTTTTGAAAATGACCTTTCTGCTTCACAATTTGTTATTGGAATGCATAAATAAATTCTTAAAGCTATATAAATTTTTGGAAATACTTCTAATAAATCCTTTTCAATTAAAAGGTCTAAAAGGAAAGGAACACTAGGGTCATTCCACGTTACTCGGGGATTTTTGTCACGCCCGTCACAATTAAAAATTGTGAGTAAAAACTACAAGTTATACAATTTATTTTAAAATATCTTTTATTATGCTTTTAATAAGTTATAAGCACAATA